CCCCCCCCCCCCCCCTCGAAATCAGGGTCACTCAACGATGCCGACGCACTGGAGCCCGATGCGGCCGTGGACGCTGGTGCGGTCGTCGTCGGCGGCTCTGCTCTACGCCTCCTGGCGGTGCGCTGCGCTATGCCCTCCTCGGCCTCGGCGGTAGATGATGTGACTGGCGCCATGTGCGCATGGAACCCTCTCCCACCCGCAGTGGCCTTCCCCCCTGATGCCCTGCCCCCGCGAGTCGTGCCTCGTCCCTCTCCTCTCCCCGTCCGGGCGGTCGGCCTCTGGGACGTCCCTCTCCTCTCCCGCGCCCCTCTCCTCTCCAACGCCCCTCTGCTGATATACCACCCTCTCCCACTACCCTCTCCTCTCCCGATGGTCGGCCTCTGGCTCGGCCACGACCTGTAGATCTCCCACCCTCCTGTCCCGTGGCAGCCACTGCCTTCCGCTTAAGACCAACGAATGGTCGAAGCGGCTCAATGATGAATGAGGGATCTCTGGGCGGCAATGGCATCGTCGAGTGCGCGCCGCAGTCCATGGGGTAAACTGCACGACGAAGACCCGTGCCCGGGGAGTCATGGTCCCGTAGACCATTGCACTGTCCACCAGTAACCTGAGCATCCGTCACGGGAGACGAGTGCGATCCCGCGCCTGCGATGTCCGGTGCAAGAGAGGGATCTGGAAGCGGCAGAGGCAGCAAGGGAGAAGCGCGTGCGTGGCTACAATCCACACCGTGGCGTGTGTGCATCCCCGGATGATGGGTACTGTGTCTGTGTCCCTCTGGGTACCCCGCCAACGTTTGCTCGATTTCCTCTACGGAGTAACCGGCGCCCTCCAAGGCACGTGCGATATCCTCTCTCTCTGCGCCTCCCTCTGTGGCAACAGCCTCCCCAGCAGCAGCCTTAGCACCAAAGGGCTCCCGACACTCCACGCCACCAGCCTTCGCATCCAAGTCGACCCGCGGCAAATCCGACAATGGTCTCGGCAGGTACGCCGCCAAATCCCTCTCAGCATCTTGGGAAATAGTTGATGCTGCCCACCAGTCTAGTGGACCCGTGAATCCGGGACGTCGTATGAACCTCCCCTGACAATCGTGCTCCACTGCACGGTGCGGGCTAGAAAAGATCGGAGCCGCAGATGTAGTGCCCCCGTCGGCGGGGGCATGTGGCAAACCCTGACCGGCCGCTGCGAGAGTATCATGTTGCGTGGTCGCATCCGTGGCTGGTGCAGCAGATGGAGGCGGTGCACCCTCAACGGATCCTGTGCTGGACGGTCGAAGAGCGGCCTCCCTCAGCTCATCAGACTCCAGGGGTCGAGCGGCCTCCCTCGGCTCATCGGCCTCCGGTGGACGACCATCCCCCCAGCCGCCATCATCCATCCCGACGGCGCCCGACACGTCGGGAAACTCGTCTCCACGGAGGCTGTCCGAGTCTGCCTCGCATGCGGGCGTACGTGCGGGAACGCCTCTATCACGAAGCGGGGCGCGTGGCGGAAGCATCCTACCTGCGGGGCTCGCAGTCGGGGGGGCCTCCCCATCTAAAAACCTGTCCCCCCGACAAGGCTCTGATAACCATGACACGACGTCGTCAATCACATCCTCCCCGTGTACCGTGTCCTCGCCCCGCTGTTGAATCTGCTGGGCCAATGCTACTGCGGCCCGCGCTAAGCGTCTGCCTCTCGACTGCCTCCTCAGGCGATCGACCTCTCTCTCGATCTCCTCCGGGTCGTATGTATCGGGCTCCCTCCCGTCTGGCTCGTAACGGGAATAGTCCTCTGCCCTCCTCTCCACGTCAGTCAGTCCGACCCCTGGGAGGCCTGGCCCGATGAACCCGCCGCGCGCGTGACTGCTCTGGAGAAGCTTCAGGTTCCAGTGACAGAACACAAGCTTCTCCAACTGCCCGACGCCTAGCCTGTTGCGCCTCTTCGTGTTGACGAAGTCATGCATCGACCAATTCCTCTGACAAGGAGAGGCAGTGGTCCACTCACCCAAGCAGCGCATGGCAACATCTCGCAATGTCGGATGTCGTCCCCCCTGAAATCTCCACCAGCTCACAGGATCGAAGTCAGGCTGCTCGATCTCTGCATCCCCGACGGGTCCCCCCCAATGAGCGGCCGTGGGGTACTTGCCATGGAAGTCCTGCAGAGAACTCCAGACTCGTCCAATCTCGTCGCCCTCTCGGCCACCGTCGATCTGGGTCACAATGTAGTCAAGCGCATTCGCCACAAGAATGCGCTCCCTCATCGTCCCTCGCATCAAAAGGTCGATGCTGCGGTACTTGGGGTGCAACAAGTACGCAACACAATGAATGGGGGTGAGCATCATATCTGACCTTTCCTTGACTATCTTTTTGATGGGCTCGTGACAAGCCTCATCAAGAGATAGTCGATCGACCGTGATCCGCAACCTCTCTAGTAATCCCCACACATCACCGACCCTGCGGCCGTCAGAGTCGACCTGCTGAAGCAACTCGTGAATAGGACCCATGATGGTGGTGACGAGCTCTACCTGATGCCACCACTGCGGGTCGAAACACCTGCGTGCGCCGTCCCTCAATGCGGGGAGCCACGCGCTCGTCGCCCAGGCAGTGGAGCTGACACAACCATCCAAAGACTCACGCAACCTCGACATGCGATGAAGCATGATGTAGTTGGTCCCGTACCGCGTCTCATCCGGGCGAACCAGAGATACGGGCGGCGACTGCCGACCCAAGAGGTATGCTGCACGTGCGTGGCGCCGAAAAAACAAAGTGATATCCCGCCCCTCTGCGATGACCTGCGCCACCCACGGCTGTCTGGCGATGTGTGTGAGCATCAGGTTGCAGCAGTGAGCTGCGCAAGGAAAGATCGTGATCGTCACGAAGCAAACGGTAAGCCTCCTTGTTGGCCAACGCGTTGTCTGTACATATCGCGACCACATGTTGTGCACCGATCTCAAGAACAAGCTCCCTCCATCGGCGGTAGAAACCCGCTCCGGTCCTCTCCCGGCCAAACATATCCTCTACCCGGTATAAGGACGCCCCCAACCTCCCTGCAACCAAGTAGTTGCAGAGAGGCCAGTTGGCCTGAGTCGACCAACCGTTTGTCATGAAAGTGACCCCCTCGGACCACAACTCTCGGTGGTATCGCAAGCGCTCGTCGAGCTCCGCGTACAGCATGGACAACAGAGTCGTGCGCAACAACTCGAACCCTGGCTGACGAGGTCGGTACGCACCCCTGAACTGACTGAGGTAAACATCGTGCAAAGCCACATACCACTCTGATCTAGCGACGTTAAACGGTATACCACAACCCACGAAGAATCTAATGTAGGCCATGTCAAGGTCATACTGCATGGGGTGCTGAGCCCAGTCATCAAGACGGGTCTGAGTCAGCTTCGGCACTCGGTGCCGTGCCTGTCTCCCCTCCACAGCGGCTCCCAGCAGCCCCTCCTTGAGGTCCGCAGGGACCTGTATGCCCTCCTCTCTCGCTCGCTGCAGCATCCTATCCCTCCACCACTGCTGCTCGTCCTGGGAAGCACGAGGCGCTCCCTCGTGCTCGCGTCGCCTCCTCCCGACCTCTAAAGCACCACATGGCATCTTTCCCGCCGGATCAAACCGTCTCGCCCTTGCGTGCTCTGCACGCCCTCCCTCGTCACACTCGTCCCCTCCCCAGACGGGCCCTCTCCTGCTCCCTCTCCCCCTCCACTAGACGGGCCCGCTGATCCAGAGGGGCCCATTCCTGCGGACGGGCCCCCTCCTCTTGAAGGGCCCACTCCTGCAGAATGGCCCTCTCCATCCTGCCGCGCCGCAGGTGCCGGAGGTGCTCTCTCCTCCCTGCCATCCCCCCTTCGTCCCTGTGCCAAATCACACGCGCGAACTAGCGGGGGCTGTCGTGCCACGACGCCAGGCAATCTCCAATTGAGGGGATGCTCAAATTCGAGCTCACCCTCCCTGTCACCCTCCCGTACATAAACAGGGAGGGACCCCTTCAACTTGATGCCTGCCCTCTGCAAGTCCCTGAGGATATAAACACATGCGTGTGGGCACCTCTCATGATCGCGCACGGTATTGAAGTGCTGGGTCGCCTTGCTTTGGTTACCAACCCAGCGGTGACCGCACAATCTACAACGCAACTCATGATTGCCCTTCGGGTCAGCTCCCGAAGGGCTAACAAACAATTGGCCCTTCTCCACGTACTTCAAGATGACGTGCTTGGGCTTTGGATCGTTTTCGAACTCCACATTGGGCACAAACTCCGGCCTGTGCGCCATGTCGACACTCCCTCCCCGGCCCCTCTCTAACACCGCGCCCCACAAACCCACAGCACGACACGTGAGAGCGAAGACACAGGGCAAACGGCGAGGACGTATGCTGCCCTCGATTGTGACTGAACAACTGTCGATGAAGAGCGAGAAAAGACCTGCATGACAATCAATCAACCAGTCGATCGATGAATCAGTCTATCGATATCATTCAACCATTCTATGAACTGATCATTCGACATCGGTTGTTTGATTGGTTGATCGATCGTTTGATTGATTGGTTGATTGATTGATTGGATGATTGAAAAACCAAACTGATTTGTTGGTTGATTGATTGATTGATTGGATGATTGAAAAACCAAAACTGATTTGTTGGTTGATTGATTGATTGATTGTTTGATTGTTTGAATGATTGAGATCAACTAAAAAAACAAAACTGAAATTAATGAAAAACTAACAGCAATCGAACGAGATAGACGTCCCTGCCTCCCGCAAGAAAGGGTTGATCGATCGTTTGATTGATTGGTTCATTGATGCGGAGTCTGAGTCTGAGTCAGATTCTGAGTCAGACTCAGATCAAGCTCAGACTCAGAATCAGACTCAAACTCAGATGAAGGCTCAGACGTAGACTTAGACTCTGACTCAAACTCAGACTCATACGCAGACTCAAACTCAGACACAGACTCAGACTGAAACTCGAACTCAGATCAGACTTAGACTCAGACTCAAATTCAGACTCATACTCAGACTAAGATCAGGCTTGGACTCAGAATCAGACTCAGATCAGGCTCAGATTCGTTCCAATTTTAACGTCCAATTTTAACGGTACCTGCTTGTCTTTCTGAATGCACTATTAATAAACAGATCATGAGTTCAAATGACCCTCTCCCCTGACTAGTACCCCTCTACCTGGCACAGTCATATCCTCTACTTCTGTTTCCACATTCTCTATGTGACCAGGTTATTCGTTGTTATTCAGCATTCTATATGTGGTATACTCTGATCAGATTGTTCGTTATTGTTCAGCCTTCTGTATGTGGTCAGCTGGCTGGTCAGCTACACCCTTTGTTCTGGTTCTGTATCGTTATCTGCGCTGGTCTATAGTCTGCTGAATTTTGCATAGTAATTATCCAGCCATGTACCAAGCAAGATTTGTGTGTTGGCAGATTCTACACCAGCACAAATAACGATAGTATGTGTTGGCATATATATGGACTTACACACAAATTATCCAGTAATATATGCCCAATCTACTTTGTAGTAGTTAGTATGTGTTAAAACATCCACAAGTTCTATGCTCTGAACTGTCTCTGTATCCAGTACAAATGCCATGCCACCTACACGGGAGGGGCCCTCGCCTGTCGTGTTGATAGAAACGACTTCCATTCTTTAAGAAAGAACAAAGACAAAGAAATGTTTTTTTTTCCCCGGGCGATTTGTTTCCTTACCCTCCCCGCGTGTGTGTG